TAAAAATGGGAAACTTTTGATTTGATCCGAAAAGTAAAAAAAAAAAGGGTTACGCGGGCTCGTTTCGGGTTTAAGCCCGGCGAAGAAAAAGGGAAAAGAGAACACGCTAGGCTAGACCGATTCGATCCGACTCGACCCGATGCCAAAAACAAAAAAAAAAAAAGAAAAGAAAAGGGGTCAGGTGATTTCGACCAACTCCGCACTCTTTCTCCAAAAAAAAAAGGGAGGCCCGGACCGTAGCCCACCTTAAAAAAAAATAATAATAAAAATAAAAAATAGAATTAGGGAATAAAAAAATAGGTAAAAAAGAAAAAAATAAAAAAAGGGGGATGGGTAAAAAAAATAATAAAATAAAAGTTGTAGGTGAATATTTTAGGTATAGGATTTTTTTTTATTATTACTTTCCTTGTCATTTATTTTTTACTCGCTTATATAGAATAATTTTTTTATTTTGTATTTTATTTATTTATTTATTCATTTAATTTTTCTAGCCTTGTTTATTTTATTTCTTGTAGCTTTTCTTTATTTAGAATTTTTATTTCAATTTTTTTCTTTTCTTTAATATGTATTGCTAGAATATATATATATATATATATATATATATATATATATATATATATATATATATATATATATTGATGAATTCTCCTATCCGATAAGGATCGATGCCACATGAAAGAAAAAAAATCACCTTTTAATCAAGACGTCTTCCGATACGCCGGTTGTGTCAAAGCTTTTAGTGGATCCGATGTTTGAATCGACGTGTCACCCAACAAAGGGGACCGACGATCGTTTCCATGTGATGCCACGCCCAAAACTAAAAAAATTTGTTTAGTCTAAAAAAAATAGGAGTTTAAAAATTAGAAAATATCTTGACATGGATTTTTAGGAGATAATTTATGACTAAACCATGCATGGTATCTTCCTAAAAGCGTAACCAACTCCTTACCTTAGGAATCTCTAAACCGAGTGCTACTTTTAAGTTCCTAGTTCCTAAAATACTAGGTGGCAACTCCAAAACTCGTAAATAATTTTATAATTAATTAACACCCAAACAATTAATTTTTCTTTTGGGGGGTCCTGTCCGACGTCGTGTAGCGACAGTCATGACCCAAAATGAAATAGAAAACACTAGTTTTTTTGTTCGTGCTACACTCGCATATTAGATAAAATATATAAAATCGTTTAAAAAAACTATTTTAATTTGATAATCTATTTTATGTTATCGAGTTTATAAAAATATATGAAATCAAAGGTAAAAAAATTATTTTAATAAAAAATTTTGCATTTAACTATTTTTTATTTGTGTTTTTCAAATTTTTTCCAATAGAAAATGGATTTATCCTTGTTAATCCATGGATTATTAACTAAAAATAAATAAATTAATTAAAAAAAACTTTAGTATTTCATAAGATTGTGTCAAAAAACATAAATAACAATCATTAAAAGCTTACATAAAATTAAACAAATAATTTTTTTTAATTTAATTTTGATGAGAATATCATTTTTTGGAAAAAACAAAAGTGAATTTAATTTTTATATATTTATTTAAAAAAGAATGAATAATATTAAAATAAAAAAGCTGTAATTAATTTGACTTTCAACTATTAATTAATTAATTTGAGTTTTTTTATTAAAAAAAATATAGAAAAAATTATTTGAAATACACTTTTAATCTAAAAATGTATTTTAAATAAATTATATATATTAATCATGCCACTATAATTTAAAAGTTATCTAAATCTTTATATTCTCAAAATTTATTCCAAAATTCATACATATAGAAAAATAAATCAAAATTGTCAGTAAATATAATTTTAAATTAATTGGATGAGAATTTAAAAAAAAAATTAAATTAGTAAATTTTAAATAATAAAAATAATTAACAAAAAACACTAAAAAAAGGGGACCAAATCACAATATAATTACGAGTTTGAAATTGAAAAAAGAAAGAGAAATTTTAAAAAAATGACTAATTAAATAATAAAAATAATTAATAAAGAACATTAAAACAAAATGGGACAAAATCATAATACAATGAAAGTTTGAAATTGAAAAAAAAAGTATAGAAAAATTGAGGACCAAAGTGTTACAAAAATACTATGAATAGTGAAAGGAATAGTGATTTATGAGTGTATAAATAGTGATTTGTGAGTATGTGAATAGTATTACAAATAGTGAATAAATAGTAAAATTATGTTTTACTTTAGTTTTATTGATAATAATGATATGATTAAAGTTGAAAGCATAGGGACATGACGTGATTGTTTAGCATTCCGCAAATAAACCTCCGCAAAAAAGAATTGGTCAAATTTTACCTTATGCTTGCAAATTTAGTCAATTCAATCCAATTTGACTAAATTGCATTAAATTGGAAGATAAGTATCAATTTGACTAATGATTGAAAATGTTTTACGAGTAAAAAAAATACGAAATTATTTTAAGAAAGACAAACATTTTGACCATACTCATTCATTAAAATTTCTTAAAAAAATATAAGGAATTAAGAAATTATTTTTTTATTATTTTTGATAAAAAAACTAATGTTTAAGAAATAATAAAATCTTTTTTTTTTTGAAATAAAAAAAATCATAAATTTTGAGCCATTAGTAAACTTTTGAAATGTTCAAGAAACAAAAAAATATTTCTAGAATGTTTAAGAATTTTTCTCCTTAAAATTTTAAAAAAAAATCAAAATTAATTAAAAAAATTTATTCTGTAAACATTTTTTTTATGTGTGTGTGTGAGAAATTTCAAATTTTTTTCTTTCTTAAATATTTTATTTATTTTCTTAAACATTTTGAAAGGTTTAATTTTTTTTTATTTTTTAGATCTTGAATGTTTTAAAAAAAATTACTTTAAAAAAATAGTGTTTTTTATTCTTAAACTTCGGAGAATTTTATAATCAATATCTTGCCATTTAACACAATGTAGTCCAATTTTTGTTCATTTCAAATTTGTTATTTATAAAACACTAGGATTTTCTTTCATAACAATCAAATTAGCTTAAAATATGTGTATTTTATAATTTTTTATTTTTATCATACTTCTTGTCTAATTTAAATTAATTTTGATCTTTAATATAAATTTTTACTAGAATTATTTGATTTTTGTTCTTTTTAATGGTGAGATGTTTGGATTTAAAAAAAAATTGATATATTAAATATTATTATTTTACATATGCGTGCAATAGTTAAAACTCGTTTTACATTTTGAATTGAGTCGATACTTTTTCTTTGAAAAAATTGAATAATAAATTTGATAAATATGTGGATCCGACTTGTATCCGTTAGGATCTAGTTACTTAATTATAAAACTCAAATCCAAATTCATAAGATCCGATTTAATTCATTTATTAATTAAACAAGATCTAGATATATTATGATTCGGTCCATGTCCGACTTGTTGACAATTTTAGGAGTGGAGGGTGTTTTTGTAAAATAGTCTGGATAGGGATTTAGTCTTGATTGACGAGCAAGTTGGTCTAATGAGAAAATTTTTAAAGTCATGTAGGAGTGACTACGAATAGTTAGTTACTCTTTGGGCAAGTTGGCTTGAGGAGAAAAATTTTAGAATCCTTGTGGAGTAATTACTAATAATTAATTATTCTATAGACAAGTTGGCTTGGAAAGAAAGTTTTTAGAGTTCTTTTTCTTTTCTAAGAATCACTATCAATATAGTTATTTTACATATTCACACATTTGAGGAAAGAAACACCTATAAAGATAAAAAAATAAAATAAAATATTACATATGGATTTAAAAAAATGATAAGAATATCTTAACCTAAACTAAAAAAATATATATTTTTTAAAATTATCTCTTCTGTTTTTCTCTTTTTTTTTATGTATATTTCTTTTGTACAATAGAGTAATTATTAATTATTATTTTTGAAATACTCTAAAAATAATTGATATGAAAATGCCTTTACAATACAATTGAAGGGGAAAAAAAATCCCAATTTCCAAATGAATCAATCTTTTTCCTCTACCCAATACAACCTATTTCCACTAAAGTAAATTGTAAATTAGTCCTTTTTGTTATGAAAAATAGATTAATTAATTCTTTTGATTTTTAAAATTAATTGTTTAGTTATTTATTTATTTTTATTTTTAAGAAATAGAAAACAAAAATATGTAAATATTTGTATAAAAAAATTATTTTATAAAATATAAAATATAAAATTAATTGTATTTAATATTAATTAAAATTATTAAAAAATTACTTTTTGAACTCGGAATGATATGATAGATGAGAGAGACTAATTTATAATTTACTCATTTTCTCTAAACATCCATCACTTTAGGCCCAACCCATTATACCCATTCTGTTCCCACCTATCTATTCTCCAAGTCAACCGAGTTAACTCGCTCCCACTTCCAGACTTTTCGAGGTCCTACAAAACCCTAACAAAAAACTTCCATTCAAATTCACCAAACCCCAAATTCAACGGAGAGGAGACCAAAGGTGAGTGACCCCTTTTCTTTCCCATTTCTTCAATAATCTCATGCACATATGTTTTGGTCCATTTTAATTACTGTATAGCCTAGTATGTGACACTTTATGTACAAAATACATTGAATCTGCTGTATCCAAAATCAGGGCTTACCAATTTAAACTTTCAGTTTATGCTGTCTTTTAATAGCTATAATACTTCAATTTGAGTTAAATGAGAAATGGGTTTGAATTTAAGTTTCTTAGCTTAAAGTATTTGTAAAGTGGTTTTTGTATTGTTTTAAAATGGGTTTTAGTGATATTTTTTGTGAATTGTAAGTGGGTTTTCAATGAAATCAATAAATGATGGATACCATTTGATAATAGTTTTTGAGATGATATATTAGTGTTAAAAAAAAAATGAAATTTATAGTTTTCATTTATAAATGACAATTACTCTTTTTCTTGTGTCAGTTAGTACTTAAAGTAGAATAGCATGCTGTGTTTGTGATGGTTTTTTGAAGCTCAATTTGAGTTTGAAAGTTGATTTTTAGTTTGTAATAAGAGATGGAAACCCCAAAGCGAGAAAGTTTGGGTAGAAAGAGGTCGTTGAGGAAGAAATCGGGTGTAAGGAATTATGATGAGAATTTGATGGATGAGCTAATAGAGAAGCATTTAGGTGGTACTTTTAAGAAAAAGAAACGAACAAAGGACGATTTGGAGAAAGAGACTGAAACCGAGGCAATGATAGCGATTTCTCTAGGGTTCCCAATTGATGCATTGCTTGAGGAGGAGATTCAGGCTGGGGTGGTAAGACAATTGGGTGGTAAAGAGCAGAATGATTATATTGTTGTCAGGAACCATATTCTTGCTAGGTGGAGGAGTAATGTGCAGGTGTGGTTATCAAAAGGGCAGATCAAAGAAACTGTGAGTAATGAGTATGAGCATTTGATATCCGCTGCGTATGACTTTCTTTTGTATAATGGATATATTAATTTTGGAGTTTTATCGCCACTGACATCTCCCGTACCAGAATTGATGAATGAAGGGTCTGTGATAATTGTTGGTGCTGGACTTGCTGGTTTATCTGCAGCAAAGCAGCTCATGTCCTTTGGTTTCAAGGTCATTGTTCTAGAAGGTAGGAATCGTCCTGGGGGAGAGTTTATACTCAAAAGATGGGTAGGAAGGGTCAATTTGCTGCTGTAGATCTTGGTGGCAGTGTTATAACTGGTATCCATGCCAATCCTCTTGGAGTTCTGGCTAGACAACTTTCTATTCCACTTCATAAGGTCCGAGATAACTGCCCTTTGTACAAACCAGATGGTGCACCCGTTGACAAGGGAATTGATTCCAATATTGAAATCATTCATAATAAGTTGCTTGACAAAGTGATGGAACTAAGAGAAATAATGGGTGGATTTGCAAACGATATTTCTCTTGGTTCTGTTTTGGAAAGACTCAGGCAACTGTATGGTGTGGCTAGATCTACTGAGGAGAGGCAATTGCTCGAATGGCATCTTGCTAACTTGGAATATGCAAATGCTGGATGTCTTTCAGATCTGTCGGCTACATATTGGGATCAAGATGATCCATATGAAATGGGTGGGGATCACTGCTTTCTTGCTGGAGGGAATTGGAGATTGATAAAAGCATTATGCGAAGGGGTTCCCATAATCTATGAGAAGACTGTGGATACCATTAGATATGGACATGATGGGGTTGTCATAATTGCCGGTGAACAAGTGTTTGAAGCAGATATGGTCTTATGCACAGTTCCTCTTGGGGTCTTGAAGAAAAGAACCATCATTTTTGAACCGGAGTTACCTGGAAGGAAGCTTGCAGCGATTGAGAGAATGGGTTTTGGGCTGCTCAATAAAGTGGCCATGGTTTTCCCTCATGTTTTTTGGGGGGAGGACCTGGATACATTTGGATGTCTCAATGAGCACAGCAATAAGCGTGGAGAGTTCTTTTTGTTCTATGGTAACCATACAGTTTCTGGAGGTGCAGCACTTATTGCACTGGTGGCTGGAGAAGCTGCACAGATGTTTGAAAATTCAGATCCATCTATGTTACTTCATCGTGTCCTAAGCGTCCTCAGAGGTAGAACTTGTGACGATTTTCCTTTCTGACTTTTTCTTATTATTCTTCTTCTGAAAGCTTGAGTGGAGTCCACATTCGTCAAGTTATGGCTCTTTTGACAGGTATATACAATCCAAAAGGCATTGATGTTCCTGATCCCATACAAACAATATGTACAAGATGGGGCAGTGATCCCTTCTGTTATGGTTCTTATTCCCATGTTAGGGTACAGTCATCTGGCAGTGACTATGATATACTTGCAGAAAATGTGGGGGCGGCTTTTTTTGCTGGTGAGGCTACAACTAGGCAATATCCAGCCACCATGCATGGTGCCTTCTTGAGTGGCTTAAGGGAAGCTTCTCACATTTTAAGAGCCAATAGAGGTCAGCAAAACAATTCAAGGAGGTCTGTGCTGAGAAATCTTGGAATAAGCAATGACACCTTGGTAGGTCTATTCAGGTGGCCTGACCTCACATTTGGAAACTTCTCGTTTATATCAAATCCTTTGACAGAAGACCCAAATTCAATGGGGATTATGAGGGTTACTTTTGACAGTTGCGGAGATGATTTGAAGAAGGAATTAGAGAATAGCTTCCAGCGTCCCCTGAACCTGCCATTGCAACTTTACACAGTGTTATCTCGTGAACAGGCACAGAGTCTTCAACTGGTGACTGGAGGGGATGACAGTAAGTTGTCACATTTGATTAGAAATCTTGGTTTGAAGCTAATGGGACCTATTGCTCTAGCAAATTTAGGTAGTTCCTTAATTTCTACTATTGCCAACTCTCGAAAAGGCAGGGGTAGGAACCGGGTAATTGCTGGAAAAATATAGTACTGTTTAGAGATGCTATCAGTATTATTGTTCAACACTCAGGCACTTTTTGATTCAGCATGGAGTCTTTTGATGCATATATGTGCTCCATGAAATGGGATTTGCAAATTCGATGGGCCTTTTAGTCCTCAGATCTTTATATAATCTAGATGAATGGGTTGTTGATCCCCTCCAAGAGTAGACAGTTATCTGGAGTCTGTGAAGCACCATTTGTTTTGTTTACTGTAGAACATTCTTTATTCTGACAGTGACCAATTTAGCTGCTAAACTAGATCCATTAGTGCATGTTGTTGCCAATGTTTAGTTTAGGTAAAACTAAATGTACATGCTACTCATCTTAGTTGAGAATGAAATGTTGCAGAAGAATATGGTGTAGTTTTCTGGGCCCTTTTGTCTCCTCTAATTCATCTTGTATTTGTACTCTAGATTCGCCTGAAACATTTCTTTGGAACTATGATATAGTTTTCTCTCCCTACCGTAGGTACATCTCCACAGATTCAGAATTTGCGCAAGCTTACAATTCATATCCATCTTAATGCAGACTGAAGCTTTTTCACAACAGAAGCCTCTTAAGCATCTGGAACAATTTATTGCTGAAACCCTAACAGTCATTCCAAGTTGGCCAGTCTTGTGAATGTCAATATGCTTTAACAGTTAAACTAATGTCAAATTGTAATGGTAAATTGCAAGCAACATGCAAACATCATTATTAGCCAAGAAATGGAAGAAAGCAGATTGAAAATCTACTTCACAGCTCCGAATTGTAAGGCTTTAGAACTTGAAATTTCACCCTTTTCTTACCTGACCTTGGCAAGAAAGCACTGCAAAAAACAGAGAGCTAAGGATACCTACGGCTCTGCGTTCTGCATGAAGTCCATGCAGGTTCGGCAACTACAGTCAACGAACCTGCACTTGAGACACCCGAAACAGACACAAGAAGTGCAACCAACACATGTAGATGAGCGAGGACAGCCTCTGCGGCTTTTACGGCTGGTTCGCTCCTCTTCATCCTCACAAGTTATCCTGTTTTCAGACACTTTCACATGAACAAACAAACAAAAAGTAGTTCTTACTGAAAGCAGATCACGCATTTACCAGTTATTATGCCATAGAATCTATGTCATGGACTCAACTTCATATATTTATCTTATTATTGTTTTTTCGTTCGATAAGTCATAAGGATTTCCTGTGAACCAAATGGAGAATTTAACCTACCTTCTATATGACATATCAGCACAATTCCAACTCTTTTTGGCTGCAGCATCATGGTATATCCTGCAATCCTTTTTGGTCCTCAGACGAAACCTGCGCTCTCTTTTGCATTTGCAGCATCGGATGAACTCGTCACGATGAAAAATTCTCCTCATCGACCCACTTGCCCCATTCGTTGCATGCTTATAATATTTGAGCAGTTTAGTCCTCCACAATGGCACTTTCTTGTCATTAACAAGCACCCAGATATGGCTTGGCCAGTTGCTCGTGCCTTCCCTGCTGCAGTGCTTCTCAAACTCATAGGGAGTTAACCTCTCTGCTTGATATGATGTTTACTCAATAGTCAGAAAAAATTACAGCCAACTAATTCCTAAATTAATGTTTATGAAAGGTTTTAACAGAATATTGATGCTGATGAATGGAATTGAATTGAATAATACAAAGGTAGATCAACTTATTTTTAGAAAAATGTATTAGACACATCATTGCTGCTATTTACACATGCATCTTAAAGCAAATGAATTAAGAACCATAAATTCCAGTTAAGGAAATCAACGAGAAAAAAGAAAAGATGTTAAAGATTGTGATTTCTGTACTTGCCTCCCTTGCATCCATGAGCACATTCACATCTTATAAGAAACTGGCCATTGGCATGAACTTGGAGTATTCCCAAACCATCACCATATCTTCTGCTGGTGCAGCCACATGTCACTTGAACATAGTTGAGTCCTTTGAAGAACCCATCCATGTCTTTGAGCTCCTTTTCCATTAACACAATTTTAGTTTCTGTGATATAAAACGTTAGGCATTTAGTATAGAAAGATATATATATATATATATATATATATATATATATATAAAGAAGAAGATATATATCGTGTAGATTTGGTGCCGTAACACAAAGATCATTCTCAAAATACAGATAAATATATATATGTTTACCTAATAAACCTTAAATCCAGACCATGACAAATCAATCTAGTGTATACATTGAAAACTGAAACAAACTTTTCCCAAAAAGCATGCAGCTGTAGACAAAACGTGGAAAAACGGAGTGTAACAAGGGAGTGATCAAGTGATTCCAAAAACCTTGGGAGAGAAATGTCTTAATTAAAGGTTCATGCTTTGGTTCGTTGAAATAATCGCAAAAGAAAAGCACATTTGGGCAGGGAAAAACCCTACAGGGAAATTAAGGACTTGAGAGGCTAGTTTGTGCAACAAGTGTTTCTTTCTACAATTTCTATGTTTTCCTAGTTTTAGGTTTTGCTTTAACCACGAGTATATGAAATCGTGTGAAACTATAAGATCTTAATATATATCTTTCCGCCATTTCTTTTCTTATATCTTTGTTTGACTGTCCCTCCCAAGCATACATATATTCTTTTTCCTCCTTTTTTGCCCCTTTATTTAGCTAAACTTGATTACTGTTCCTCGTTCCTTAATGAAATTTGATAGAATAAAAGACATGCTACAATTAGCTCCTTTGTTTAACTTCACGCAACTAAATGCTCATGAAATTTATAACAACATTTCTAGCCCTATTTGATGGTGTTCCAACGGATACAAATATATCAATATGTTGTTTTAAAATTAGCATTTGGTGGATTGGGTATGAAATCAAGTAAATAATTACTATAACTAATTCGAAAAGGCAATCATTAAGCTTATTATATTGGAGAGATAGCCCTCTTCTGGCCTTTATATGTCAATATTACTGAAATCAAAGTGGAAAGACATTAGGAAAGAGAGCAACAAAAGTTTAAGAATATAAGTGAGACACAAGCAAACGTCAGGGCGGGTTATTATCATTTTCAACTGATTCAGATATTTTCATTTGGATATTAAAAAGGCAGGTTTGAGTTTGAGTAAATCTTATGTCAAAATTATATTACAAAAAATGAATATCAAGAATGTAATTAAAACCATGACAAATTACACAGCATATGCTAGGCAAGGTTATGGGAAAAGAGATTGTGTGTAGCCAACATATTAAAAATATGAACCAAGCTGTTTAAAGCCAGCTATTTATATATGAGAAGATTCTATTTTCCACTATGAAAATCTTAACCATGCGGCATTAATCAATACCGATCTACATATAAAATTTATACTCACAAGCACCTAAATCAATTTCTTAATTTCTGTAAGAAATTTATTAATGGATCTAAGATGTTGAAATAATATTTTTATTGGTTATATTAACCTAAAAAGTTGGTTTGTGAAATCTATCTACCACTTGGAATTTTCTTTGTAGTGCCAAAATATTTTATGTAGCTAGAAATTAAATAGGATAGGATTTTCATAAGAACAAATAAAACATCCTTTTTTTTCATGTTCTTAATTTCTTCATCGAATGTCTTTTATAAAGTTTTTGCTTTTAAAAGTTATAAGATTTATAATTTTAGAAGCAAAGTTGAAGTAGAGATATTAGAAAAGTGATTCTACACTTTTTTTATGCAGACATATACAAACAGGAGATACACAGAATAAGTTCATCACCAAAGATTGAAAATAAATGATAATTGAAAAAAAGAATTAAAAAAAAAAATCTAGCCCTTTGATGCTTCGAGATTTGGTAAACGAAAAATAAAAAAAGAAGCACTTCAAACCACAAACTAATTTGTTGTTCCTTTGAACATATGCATAATCATTCATGTATCTTTGTCAATTAGGTAGTTTCAAAAAAACGAATACAAATGAAATGGAACTAAAAGAAAGTTTTACCTGAGGCCATTCTCAATGAAAAATGGTTGACTGCTGATTCTTCTTTAATTAGGATTTGAATTTGTATTATTTCTTAACTTCTTCTTGAATATAGGACAATCAAAATCTTAATTTCAGACTTAGTAATGGGGACTGCAGAAGTTTATTTAGACAAGTGAATGAAGGAGAAGAATATTTAAGGTTGTTATTTCAATAAAGCCATAATTAAGTTCTTACCATTAACATAGATTTTCACAAATTAATTTGAACAATATGATTTGCATTGGCCAGGATATACTCTCATCACTAGCTATTCTGGCATGATTTCCAAGTGTTGAAGAAAATTAATGGGCCTAAAGATACTATTTCTCGAGTGTATCGCGAAAAAACACTCTCACTACGTGGCAGAATTATATTCATTCGTGGTAGAATTATATTGGTTAAAATGATATTTATCTAAAAAAGACATAAAAATAAATAAAATCTTTATTAAATCTCATCAAAATATAGCGTCTACTCTAATTACAATGCTATCGGTACTGTTTTCGATAACATTTTGACATTAAATTTTATGCAAAATACGGTAAGTTACAAATTCAAACATGGTTAACATTTCAACCTTAAGATTTATACAAATCTATCACATTGACAAGAATGGAAAATGAATTTAGCAACAATTATTTTCTCAAACTATTTAGTCCAAAGTTGGCTAAAGCTAATTATTTTGTTGGTATTCAATGATCTAGTTTGGAAATCATAATTGAACAAATTATGAGTTTTTTAACCCTAATTCTATGAGTTATTTTTTAACACATTTTGCAGTTGAACCTTTTCTATATGTATGTATTGATTTGAGTCGAAGAAATCATTGATAAAGAGGCAAAACTTTAAAATCCAATAATAATAATAATAATAATAATAATAACCCAAAAATCTCTACCCAACCCACTCATTTTTTCTATACACATAGCATATACTATATGAATAGTCTATAGGAATCTCAATTAAAATCATCAAAATAAGTACACGAAAGTGAATCGGACATAATTAAGGATTAATGACAATGAAGGTGATCTTTTTAATTTTTAATAAAAAAAATATAAGGTCTTTTTAGATTATATAAATTAAATATTGAAATTCTTAGACATAAATAAATTAATTTGTTAATGAAATTATTTAATTAATTTTCACCATGCATCCACTATCTCAATATTTACGGCATGTACTTGACAATTTTAAAGGATAACTGAAAAAAAAAATCACAAATCTTCAAAGAAGATATTTCAAAAGTTGAAATTGTATTAGAATCATCTAAAAAAATAACGAAAAATAATAAAATTGAAAACTTGATAGAATAATTTAAAAAGGAAGTAACAAGACAAAATGTCCAAAATGTTACCTTTTTTGCATGGTTAAGAGTTAAGAGTAATATTACAAGAAATACTATTCAATTACACCCAAATTTATTGGACCGGACAAGCCTAACAAATTAAAAAGAGAAAATGATCAAATTGTTAGGCCCATAACAAAACTCATGCCTAAGATGTATTTAGAAGGTAAGAGCCTCTAATTTAAGGTCTAGTGATCAGCTCATATCCAACAAACTGGAAAGGATAGCAACAACGAAACTAATGACTTTTGGTGAGAAAATAAGGAGTGTGGATCTTTAAACAAGATAAAAACAAGAGATAACAATCTTGACAAATAAAAAATAGGTCAGCAAATAATTAATAAATTATAAAAAAATGTAAAACATTCCAACACAAAGCGAGAAGTTATAAGAAAACATGGAGCATTGTAGAAGTACATGGTAAAAGATAAGAGAACGTGGTCGAATGCAAGGATCATAGAGGAACAAAAAGTTTATAAATAAAAATTATTATAAGGAACAACACACACAACGTCAAACAAATAAACTCAACTCGTAATTTGCAAACGACTCACATAATACTCTCATAAGTTTCAATGTACTTGGAACTTGTTAGGCGATACTTTATAAATAGTAACTTATAGACTATAATCAAGTAGACGATAATTTGTAAACTAATAATTTGTAGGCTGATTATTCATAGGTTGTTAGTTTGGTTTTTGATTTCTATTCTGCATCCACGACTTGTGATCATGAGTTGAATTTCTAAAGAGTTGTTATATTTGGAACACCAATCTATAAGTATTCTCCACCATCAATGTAAATAACTCTCCATTTTAGCTTCATATATTATTAAGATTGCAACCTTAATTTCTAAAATATAAGTTATTTGATTTCAAAGCTTTTAAATTTTAATGCATGATGTTGATTATAAATTAGTTTGAGGAATCTGAATTATTGAGTTACGATAGTCATTTTTGTGAGTAATCATCCTCACAAACTTACAAACCACTATCCTTATTATTTTTATTTCTTTTGTTGCAAAATCCTCTTAATTAAAGCAAAAAAAAAAAAAAAACGTAAAACAAGTTCAAAAACTCATTTTGAGTAACTAATCACTTATTTTATTGTAAATAAATAAATACAAACTCCTTTGTTAAATCATTAGTTCATTGCAACATTAGCTCGCAACAAATTCTAGAGACTAGAATGAAGATGTTGATTTTATCTTGTGCCACT